CGGTTCTCAAATATTGAGATTAACCTGATTTTATTAGAAGGAAGATATTTTGGAAGGTTTGTTTTCATTCTGTCAATGAAATATTCAGTATTTTTGTGTAAATGTTTATATTAAATCTTAAGTAGAATTGATTGATTAGTTTTACAGACTTTCTTCAGGTTGACTCTGACTACATTCACGCAGCCGGCAAAAATACGAGTCAAATGTGACACAAATCCACTTTTTTCAAAAACCTATATTCATTTTTTCATCGTACGGCCCAATTTCTAAGTTGATCAGATTTGTGCCATACTTCATAATGTGTTCAAAGAGTGGAGAATGTAACAGCTCAAGTTAGACTATCATAAGAGTGTTCTGTAGGAAAATTCAAAGAAAATGAAGGTGGTTTAAGACTTTTGCACAGTCATACATTTAATGAATAATCGCTTTGGTCCTACACAGACATTATTGCCAGTAGACAGAGGGCCGACGGATTGATAGGGATAAAGGAGATGTTTCTTCCAAAGCTGACCTCGTTTATTGCTTTCTGACCTTCGGAGGGATCAACAATATTGCGCTTGCATGCACACAGACACGCACACACACACACACACACACACACACACACACACACACACACACACACACACACACACACACACACACACACACACACACACACACACACACACACACACACACACACACACACCAGCGTTCACAATCATTTAAGCAGAACAAGCACCTCATAAAACCAAAAAGATCAGCAATGGAAAAAGTGCGCTGCAAGCACATTATTATATTCTCTCATAATACAGAGAAAAGCATCAGCGTGCGAGCAATCTCGCTGTTCAGACACACACGCACACACACACCCACCCACGCACGCACACACAAAAACACACACACCATATAAACATCTGCAAGTAAACAAGAATACACACGCCCACCATGGATGATTCTGCAGCTCATGATGTGGCAAAAGTTTAATTGTTTGTTCAGCAAAATTAAAGATATTAGTAATGAACTGATAGAAACAACCAGATCAGTTTATGATGTTTTGGACAAAAGTTGGAGAAATATTGGCAACTAACTGTTTGGAGTGAATGTGCATAATGCATCCCCTTTAATGCGCACACACCTCCACTAAGATTTGGTTTATTGTTCTTTAGCTGGCTGCAGAGGAAGTCTTCCTTCTCTCCGGATTTGGGGTTTCTGCCAATCAGCGCCGAATAAATTAATTCCAAATACAGTAGATATGTGAATTTTTGGCAAAAAATGTGGACTTACGCAGAGAAAAGAAAAATCTGGGAATAGTTAAATCTGTGGATACTGATCTGTGAGCATGCAGGGGTTATTAGAAAAACCTAATAACCCAGGAAACTCAGAATATTATTGAGTGATACATGTTATTGAAATTACCAAAGGGTTTTGACAATACACATCCATTCCGGTTTAAAATACAGCCACTGTAATCTTTCATTCACCTTCTCAATCTCTAAGGGAAGCCAGAAAGAAAACACAAGACAAAATTCTGTCTATGCTTTGTTTTAACTATTAAGCTTCTAGTATTCACTGAATAACTTGTAGAGTGGCTGTGAACCTTCATATTACTAAAGTTAGCAGAGGCTGCTCTTGAAAAGGAAGGTCTTATGTCTCAATCATGCCATGCAGTGCAAAATGCATTTGTCTTGCATTGGCCTTTTTGAACTGGCTTTGCAGAGACGGCTCATTCCATCAGAAACACATGCAACGAGGCGGCATCGTGATAAGTCACAGAGGAACACGCCAACTCACTGCCCAGCGTGGACCAGCAGCCCGACACAGCCGACACGTGCAACACTCAGAGGCGAAAAGACTGAATGTCCAGTACACACAGCTCTGAGGAGCTCAAATATTTGCCTCCAGAAGCACACAAGAATCAATGCTTATGCAAAAACTCAGTCCACTGTTTGTCATTTGACTCTTTCACCCTTAACGTCAGAAAAATGTGTTGATGTGCTGATAAAAATAAAGTTTAGCTATTTGTTGGATTAGTTCGGAGCAGCTAGGCTTTTTCGTAGACAGAGGACAGATTATATTTTATTTTTATTGATTCCTAAATTTTCTGCTTAAAATGTTTGTTTTTTTTTCAACTAAAAATCTAATTTTGCTGCTAAATTATTGAATAAATAGAGATATTTATTGTTTAAATCTGTTAGGATTTTCAGCCATCAGATTGGTTCAAAGTGCTTTCAAATGTTTCTTTAATGTGAATTTGAAAACATACTTTTCTTTAAAAAAATGTGGACTGTGGACTCTCACATTAGCATCGGTGCCATCTGTGCTGCTGCCACATGTTTAGCATTGAGATGCTAATTTAGACTTGAATATGTTCGCTGATAAAGTAACTCCTTTTAGAACAACTTGAACAAAATGTTATAGATTGTTTGTGCACAAATATACCAGTTACACTAAGCTAGTTTAAGGTCAATTAGTCCGTTAGCTACACAGATTGTCTGCACATCAGAATTCAGTCACAGACCTGTAAAGCTTTTCTCATTGCAAACAGAAACTAAAGTTTCACATGTTCTTCAGAATGATGACTTGGTGAACAATGGGACAGGGAAGCTGAGCGTCTGAACGTTCGTCTCTATCATATTAACTGCTTCCATTTTTCAGGGTTCAAGCTTCTTTTGGGCTTGTAGGTTTTTTTTCCCAATTTTTCCACTGTTAGTCGTCATTTAATATTTGAGTATTGAGTAAAACATCATGCAAACTCCAAAGAAAAACTTTGAAATGCCTTCAGAAAGTATAAAGAGCTATTCAACAAGACTAAAAGAAGCTAATCATGTCACTCCCTTGAAATTAAACTTATAAAGAGCTTCTGTTGGGTCGCACTTCACCGCAGTACTGTAAATAGATATTGAAAGATGATGAAGAAAATATTATGGCTTCCTATTCATTGGTTTCACATTTCAAATTAACTCACAGCAAAGGCCAAACTGCATTTCTATCTCCATGTTTATGATTAGATTTTTAAAAGTTTGCCTTTTGCAAGACATGATGTGCAATTTGAAGGAGGATTTGGGTAAAAAATAGTTCATGCTGGTCAAAGAATACTCAATAAACTCACTGAGATCAGTTTTTATTTTTTCCACAGCCTCACTCATGGCAAAGAAACCAGCTAATTACTTCATGACGGCACTGAAGTTTTGTCACGAGTTAAAGATTTTACATTGCATTCCACATAACTTTATTTCATCAACACACAAATTACAAAAGAAAACCTGCCAAACGTATTTTACTGATGGCCATGCGGGTTTCTCATGGAGTCGTAAGTTTGGAAATGTGCAAAAGATTTGAGTCCAAGCGATGAGTCAAACTGCAGAACAAAACAGGACAGGCAGTTCATTTACATGGCTGGCTCAGAGCTTTCTGAAGAAGCAACGTTCTTTTAAGATGAAGTGCACTAATTATCACTTCCAGCATCAAAAGTATTTCTGACTTTTCAAGAAAATTCACACAAGACGAGATGAATTTTGTTGTGAGTCCAGTTTGCAGGGTTCAACTTTGATGTCTGATTTCCTTCGTGGTTTCTAAACCTGAAGCATCATCAGACTCTGTAACATGTTCATCAGTAAGCAGCTAACAGATGGGACAAGCAAGCATGAGGGGAAAGCAATATCTAGGTTTAGATGCTGTACTAAATACAATATGAATGTCATACCGACCAGTCAGTGTTTTTACCTAAAAAATCTCATTCTCATAGTAATACTATCATTTGGCAATTTCAGGCTTGGTGTCCTATCCAAGTATGACTGATCATGTGTTTAGAGAACCTGGAACATATTTACTTAAAGACGTTTATTGTTTTTCAGCTTCAAAGAACAATAGTTTACTGTGGTCACCTTTCAGCAGTAAATCACATCGTCTTTCCATTTTTGTGCTAATTGCCTTAAAGAACGCAAAATAATCACTGCTTTCATGACTAATTATGAGACCCAACAATGGGATTGTTTGTTTGCAAACAAGATTTATGTAAGCAAAACCATCAACAATTTATGTAATCGTGGTTCCATAATTTAATCTATATAACGGGATTTAAATCGTTAGCGACTAAACTGGAGGAAAGATGGGGAATCATCACGTTTGAGGAAGAAATGTGGTGGGAAAATAATTCTAAATAGTCACGGAAAGTTTGGTGAATTCAAATGGAAGATGGCCAAAGCAGAACCCAAAGCTGTGTTTATTACTGAAAGTCAGAGCGTTTCCACATGCAATGTGAAGGAACTCGAGGGATTTGTCACAGCTTCTGAAATTAGACTTTATTTTTGTCAGGAATAAACAAAACGTGTGTTAATCTCTGTGATGTGAAAATCTGGTGGGGACGAGATGACAGGTGTAAGCGTTCAACTTCAAAAAGTAAATTTAGGAGTGGCATCTCATTTAAACCCTAAAACTTTGTCATTATAACGAGATGTAAAGCCTGCTAAAATGATATTTAAATCTCATTAAATCCAAAATATATCTCTTTTAAATAAGAGAGGTTGGAACAGTAAAACATCAATACTTCTTGGGATTTTTAAATGTCATCTAGAAGAAACAGCGTGAGAAGGAGGATCATAGTGAGTCTCTTTATGCCCTTTAACGAGTCTTAATCAGAGGAACATAAAATAATATCTCCTTATAACAAGAAACTCATTTTTACAAAGAGATTATAAAGAGATTTTGTCGTTCATCGAGAAACTCGCGTTATAACGACATTTTGCTTCTCAATTTTTTTTTTCCAAACTCTTGCAGTTTAACTCTGACAGTTAAACTCTGCACCTGTTTACATGCTGTTGAATTTAAAGATGGCCTATTCAAGTCGACGGATCCTTTATTAAATGCATGGCAGTATCCATATCTTATGGATTCATTCTGTGCTCAATTCACTCGTCAAATTATCAAACTTTGTGTATAAATATAACTTACCATAATTCACAAACTTGTATTCATGTCCTTTGGTTAGATGTTTTCCATGTTTGTTTGGCTTTTAGGAAGTTGGCCAAAAAGCAGAAGGAAACTGCGAGCAGCTCCACCCAGCAGAGGGAGATGGGTCCGGTCACCACGGCTGATAAGAGCACCACTAAAGTGAGCACCTTGCACAAAGACGACCCGTTCTCCACGTCCAGCCCAGACCTCAACGGCTTCAGTGAGTAAAACTCATCTGCACTTCTGCTCTAGATGAAATTGATCAAGATTCACACTTCCTGGCAGCATTGACAACGTCTGGAGAACTTTATCCGTAAATTATTCCAGAAACCTTAAGAAGAAAAGGAATGCACTTCCAGTACAGATATCTGAGAGAAAGCATCAGTCGATCCAATACAGAGAAGCAGCACTGAATTAACATATTTATGTTTTTAAACACAGACACAAATGTATTGAATTACAAATTCATTTGGCCAGTACAGTACTCTTACTTACACCAATAGCGTCTCAAGCTTGGTCATGGAAAAATAACCCAAATTTAATTTCCTCAATCAGTGAAATTGACAGCCAAAAATAACAGCTTCACAACGTTGGTGAATGTAAAATATAGAGATCTTCTTCCAAATGGTCCTGAAAGTATAATTAATTAATCACAAAATTAGTTCTAAATATAATGTAAAATAAACATTGAAGCATTTCATTACTTAGAGGACAAGGCATAGAATTAGACTGAATAGATCTGCCTTTATTCATCTGAAACTGATTTTTTTCAGTATTAAGACCAATAGAGATATTAATATCAGATCAATATTAATCAAAGAAAAAAGCAGAGCTTCCTATGTTCATGTCCCTCTATTGGCTGCTTCAAATGAGACGTTTTGACTAAAAATAAAACTGTAACTTTCGTCAATCTTCCATCTTACCTTGTGCTTCTTTTGGGGATAACTGACCCTCCCTCTCGCAGATCGCATCTTGTAAAAGAACGAACTGCATTTTTTTATTTTTCTTCTTAAAATTACTCATATTTGTGTGTCTGGTATAATTAGACAGTTGGTCTCAGGTGGGCATTTTTCTCTTGTAAATGTCACGCTGGCCTTTAGGGGAACTTGGCTTTTGAGAGCTACAGGTTCAATTTAATGCTGGTCATAACTGCCTGCACTCTTCTTCTTAACTCTCCCTACTGATGTACAAAAATTGTTCCTGCACTGAAAACTGCAGACTGAGTGGAGTTACATTTGTTGCACTTTGAACATTCAGGTTAAATTCATTCATCTCCGCCTATACACTACAGTGCATTGTGTTGTATAAACTTATTTGGACATTTTTAATTAACTTTTTGATCATTATTTTTAATGCTGGGTAAATCTTTTTGTTATCAATGTAAATGTAAAAATCAGAAGGATGTTTTAAGACAGACTTTTTGTTGGTCCTTGCTGTTCATTTATATTTGCTAATAATTCCCTGATTTCTTCACAGAACAGTTCGGTTTACTTCGGCCCTGTTTAGTCCGCTCTCATCAAACTGTAGATGTTTGCAAAGAAAGTCCAGTTCATTTCAAAAAGTGTGAATGTGCAGCTGAACTCTGGTCCTCATAAAATTGTCTGAGACTGTTTGCTGTTTGAAAAGCAAAAGCAGGACAGCAGACAGTAGATGACTACAACACAGTGCATTCTGGGTAATCACCATCAAAACAAACATGAGTCCAGCTCTGTCAGAAGAAATGGCTCGTTGTTTTTTTTTTTAACCAAAGATCTAAAATCCTCCAACTTGTAAAATCTGACAAAGCTCCATTTTTACCATCAGTGTCTTCAGAAGTTTTTATGATTTTTTTTTATTTTTATTTTTTTGTGTGTGTGTTGTTGTTGGTGCAGCGCCATCAAAGGCGGACGGGGAAGATTGTTTGACACAATGCAGTGTGAAAGAAAACTGCAGCAGCTGAAATCGTTACTGTTTGATTCTCAAACTGAGCCTCCCGACTGTGAAAACACCCCCACATTAAATTAAGTTTAATTATTATGTGACGTTTGAAGGAATTTGGTGGGCTGTACTAAATACAAATGCATAATGTACTCAGCGCATTACTGTTTGTGAAATGTTAGGAAATTTTGTACCATAAGAACTACTTATTGGTCAATCACAAACTAAAAAAATACGGCAACTGCATGAAGTTAAAAGTTACCCATAACAATGTCACAAATTAGTGACCTCCTATCTGTAATTCAGCTTTGGTAGTATTTTTTCTGAAATGGACAAACATTTACTTGCATGCAGCATACTCTGCCAGGCTCGGTCCTAATGAGACTGAAAGCGCTGACACAGAGAGGGGACCCAGTAATATTTCTGCAAGGAGTCTCACAGGGCAAATAACCTTTTTGTGTTATTGCATTCTCACCCAGTCACCAGCTATCTTCACAGGACATTGCTGTCAAAGCAGATTTCTCTTGGTATGCAGGTACACTCCTGACTCGAGTAAAGCCTGACTGCTTTTTGGTGAACATTAGCATACAGTGGTAGTTTGCATAAGGCGAGAGGAATTTTATCACCAAGCAGGAGAAAATATGTTTGTTTGGATGTATTAGAAGTGTGGGACAGAGATGAAGAATGCAAGAAGTGATGGAGGAAAGGGAGGATAATACAGAGAGGAAACACAACCCACAGCGGGGAAGTGATGTCATCATATGTACAGAAAATGGAAAATAAATGACAGCAGGGTGCCGACCCACCGCTTTCCTACACAATCCTGCTTGATTCTCATCGCCCTTCAGTCTTCTGTCTGTGTTTCTTCCATTGGGCTTGATTTTTGTTGTTGAATTTCAGTGGACAGAAGAAGAGACTTGCAGCTTTGAGAATTTTGCAAACCATTATGAAATGCTAAATAAAAACAGAACAATAGTTTTAGCCAGCCATGTTGTCGCTTACGTCCTACATTTTAAACTTACATCCCAACATTTTTACAACTGACCAGTTGCGTCCCCACAGTGGGATTCACTGTCCGTTGTAAAAGGTTTGTTAGTAGAAGACATTTCTGGGTAGTCAGTCAAATAATACGCAAATATAGCTAATTAAGAAAGCTTGTTAAATTTCTTAATATGCCAAGGAGATTTTTTTGCTCATATTCTGTCTTTAGTTCTTTAAAGTGATTTCAAAGAATTATTTGTAACTTAATATTCTATATGCACTAATTAAGTAATAAGCTGAACATTTTTATTACTAATTCGATTTTTTTGAGGGAAACATTTTTTTAAACAGATGTTGCATTTTTTTGTGCAAAAAGTCCATCTCAAAAATAAAATGTTTAAGTATATTAATTTATGGTTTTGATCTTGGCTTGCTTAGAACATGCAACAGTTTGTGGATCTTTAATTTTAAGGAGAAAAAAAACATGGACTGGTTACAAGAACAGAAATTCAGCTGCCAAATGAGCACAAAGTGTTGTTCACCAAAGAAAACAAAATAAGAGGCATTCAGGTAGAAAAGATTCACAGAATCTGCTTCTAAGAAAAGCAGATCTGTCAGTTTGTAAAACCTAAAAGAACACCGGTACATTTCTGTGTGCTTGGCAAGAACAGCTGAACGGTGAGTTATTTCTGAGATCCAAAGGTGCAACCAGGACTGAGTGTACTTGAGAATATCAACGTCCCAAAACTTCAAATATTATTTCATTTTTTCCAAGAACTTAATTATTTTCGCATTGATGCATTCAGAAAAATAAAAATTGCATCTGAGAAAATTTCAAAGAAGCTAAATATCCACCTTTATAAAGGTAGAAATGAATAAAAAGAAGATGAATATTTGTTCTAAGACAAATGTTTGCGGCTTACTGCTTTATATTATATTTTCAGGCTTCTGTAGCAATGAAACGTGATGGTGAATTGAGACATTTAAACCTTTAAAGCCTCAGATGAAAATTTCATTGTAACTTATTAGTTGAAGACCAGCAGTAGATCACCAGCTTTAGATCTAAACGACTGATTTACATAACCACATCCATGAGCAGGAAGAAAAAAACTTTCTGTTCAAGTTGCTGTTTTACAGCAAAATGCTTCATTTACAGTAAACGCTGATTAATTGAAACATTTTGTTCCACTATTTTCAAATAAACTCATTTTGCATCTACGGCTGTAACAGGGACAGAATGTTGATATTAAGAGGGACATTTATTTAAAAATAAATGAACAAAATATAATGAGTTGACTCTAAAGTAAAGGATGAAATGATGAGACGGAGGATCTGGTGACTGATAGCAGCTGGAATCAACGTCTTTCTGCACAGCTGTCTACAAAAACATTATTTAAAAAAAGAATTATAATGAAATCCACTCCACTTAATTAGACTTAGACTTAGACTTGACTTTATTGATCCCTTGGGAAGACTCCCTCAGGAAATTATAGTTGCCAGCAGCTCACAGGCAAAAATGTGGCACACAGTAAGCATACGCAAAAGAATACAAAAAAATACAAATTAAATACAAGGTACACAGTAAATATAATAAGAATATAAATACAAAACAAAGAATATAAATACAACACAAAAGGAAATTATAGCAATTTGGTGGATAGATTGACCAGTGAGTGATATGGTATTGCACTGTATGGTTTGGCCTGATAAATATGGAGTTAACATTTGTAGAAAAACTACTCCTTCTTCCCTCTGTCCTGTGTCACCTCCGACCCCCAGTGAGGAGTTGTACAGTCTGAAGGCGTGGGGGACAAAGGAGTTCTTGAATCTATTGGTCCGGCACTTGGGAAGCAGCAGTCTGTCACTGAACAGGCTCCTCTGGCTGCTGATGACGGCGTGTAGAGGGTGGCTGCTATCGTCCATGATGTCCAGCAGTTTGTTCAGTGTCCTCGCCTCTGCCACCGTCACCAGAGAGTCCAGCTTCATGCCGACCACAGAGCCGGCACGCCTGATCAGTTTGTCCAGTCTGGACGTGTCCTTCTTGGATGTGCTGCCTCCCCAGCACACCACGGTGTAGAAGAGGACACTGGCGATCACTGACTGGTAGAACATCCACAGCAGTTTGCTGCAGATGTTAAAGGACCGCAGTCTCCTCAGGAAGTACATCCTGCTCTGCACCTTCCCGTACAGGTGGCTGGTGTGTTTTGACCAATCCAGTTTACTGTCCAGCCACAGCCCGAGGTACTTGTAGGAGTCCACGACCTCAACCTCCGTTCCCTCTAGTACGACTGGTCTCGGCTTTGGTCTGGACCTCCCAAAGTCTATAACCAGCTCCTTCGTCTTAGAGGTGTTGAGTTCCAGGTGGTTTGTGTGGCACCAGAGAGCAAAGTCCCTCACCAGACAGCGATATTCCTCCTCTCCGTCGTCCCTGATACATCCGACTATGGCTGTGTCATCAGCATACTTCTGTATGTGACACAGCTCCGAGTTGTAGTGGAAGTCAGAGGAGTACAGGGTGAAGAGAAGAGGGGCCAGCACTGTGCCCTGAGGGGCTCCTGTGCTGCTGACCACAGTGTCAGACACGGTCAGATCAAATTAGATTTACATGAAAAGTCTATCTTAATGAAATTCAGTATTTTATTTGTAAAAAAACGGTTAAACTGCTCTGACTGATTATTAAGAGGTACTTCAGTCAAATATGTTCTGTAACGATTTGAATAGAATAAAAGCACGAGTAAGACAAGTATGAAAAACCCCAACTGTGGCTAAAATTGAGAACCATTGATCTAATTAACTAGTATATCTAAGTATATCTGAAATAGCAGGTATGAAGGATAAATGTGTAAACTGCTAGCTGTCAGAGCTTATTAAGTTTATTTAGTGTGTAATATGCTCCAGTTAGTCTCCCACCACTACTCATTTTAACTTATTGAACATGTGCCTGTGTCTGTCTGATATTATTTATTTATAGAGCCCTACAGTAGTTTCTGGGTGTCTAGAAGAGATTGTGTATGTGCAGGAATAAGGTATCATTGGTCACAGTTAAAGGAAGGAATTTCTCATAATGAACCACATATATAAAATGTGTTGTGTCCACCTAAAGGTCCCCACTTCGCTCTGAAAACTGTCTTCCATTGGGATGAACTTGTGCAAATGTTCGCTTCAAGCTACTTATTGTTTTCCCACCAAAGCAACGTTGGCTCCTGTACTGATCAAAATGGAAGATTGTTAAAGTGAGTCACTCACCGTTTGCTGTTTTTCTAAATATTTGCTAAATGATGGCTTTCTGAAGTCCAGGAGTTTAAGTCAAAATTGTGTGTCTTGTTGAAATAATCTGTCAGTAGAACTAATGGTTTTGAATCAATATTAAGGAGATATTGACTTGCAACAAGCTGCTGTATCTTGTAGAAACATTTGTTGTCAGTTAGTTTTGTCTTAATTTCAGTGTAATAATATATTTGCGCTGGAGACTACACCCAAGAGTTTATGTCTTTGCAGCTTATTTTCTTTTGAGTTTTAGTGACAATCACTTTGTTTGGGACAGGCATGGATTTTCATTTTCTTCAGCCTGTTATTTTACAAGTCACTATTTTGTGAATAAATAGAGAACATTGTAAATAACGTATAATGGATACTATTTTGTTCTCATTTAAAGCATAATATACCTGGCCATAAATGCAAGTTACAAAATGTTTCTTAAGCAAGTAAGCTAATAAAAGCAGAGCTCTATGCAGACTGACTTTCACAGTGACTAAACAGCTTTGGGAGGTTTTGCTATTGACAAGTTATCTGGTACTTGAGCTGCATCAATGATCCCTAATGAGGGATCTAATGTCTTTAGGGATAACTGCAATGCATGGTGTTAACAAGCTTCTGGAAAAGTCCACCGATTTAATGATGGTGTCGCCTCAACCGCTCTGTCATTATTACTGCAGCTCTTTGGGAGATTTGTCACTTGACCTTTAACACGCTGCATGTCTCTTTGGGTAACAGATTGAGTCATGGCGTTGACCTTCTTGGATATTTTTCTGGTATCTTTTACTGAACAATGTGACACTTAATGATGATTTTTGTACTTGTGGTTTGATTTCATTTTCTTTTTTAGAACTAATCAAAGGTTGATCCACACCCCATATGTTGCTTTTCATAGATGTGTAAATTATTTCAAGTTTCACCAAACTGAAGTTCTGGCTCCTTGTATTCAAATCCAATTTTTAAAATATATGTTTAACATTCCCGATTTTACAGTTTTACTCTCATTCATTCTTTGACGAGTTAAAATTATTGACCCACACTGAGAAACACATCAGATTTAAGCGTACGCCATTGGCCTGTAATCACTGTTGTGCTTCCAAATTCAATACTGGTTGCATCATAGATGCCATTAATGCTATCGAACTGCTCCACTTGCTGCTGAAAATTGATCTGCTTTTGTTGATGTTTTTATTGTTAATTGTCTCTGAAAATCGACTGTTGATTTTTACATAAGGTCACTCTGGTATGAAACTCTTTTGGGACTTTTTCAACTGATTCTCTCCTTTTTTCTATTTCTACCTCATCTTAAATTTTCCGTCTTCTTTCATGTCTTTATTTTGGCCTCTGCTGCACATCGTTCACCCCCATCTCTGCTTTTCCCCACTTTTTAAAATAATTTTCATCGTCCTCACTGACATATTTACTCTTACCTCTCTTCTCCACAGCCTCCCCCCCCCTGCTCCTTCTCTGTGCAGGGAAGCAAAACACTGCAGAGCAAATCCTTGCTGAATTCCTACTACTCAGGTAAACTCAGACGTTTTATTTTTGCATAGTTCTAATCTTTGTAGATCCTTAGGCAACAATTTATGTGTTGATTTGTTGTTTTTTAATGCAAGTTGGAGGAGGGAGGAGTCAAATACAAATACAGTGACATTTAAAAGCTACCTTCACATAATTGTATATTTGCACAAAATCTGTACCAATTATGTCCAAGTAGATTTAGATGCACCCTGCTCACAAACAATCATATTTCATATATTATGTGGCATATTCACCTTAACTTGTACAAACACTCCGAAGAGTTTTCTGAAGCCTTTTGGAGAATATAAAACCTTTCTCCAAAAGGCTTTTGGCTTGTACATGTGGGCAGCTGCACATTTCAGCTCAACTTGAATGAGAATAAGCGCTGTTGCAGAAATCCTTCTAAAGCTGGCAAAGAGAAACTACCAGCTGTAGTTAATTATGAATATTAATTTTGTTCTTGTTGAGCTAAAACATGTTTTAGCTTTACAAAATACGTTTTGTAAAGCAGAACCTTTTTGCACTTATAAAAAAATTCAGTGACTATTTTTACAGGTACGTTTCAGAAAATGTAAATGTAAGGAAAAGTTCAATAGTTTCTGTCACTCTTCAGAAGCCTAACATTTCTGGCTTTTGAAATCTGATCTTATGTAATATTTTGATTGTGTGAGTCATTGAACTTTGGGTTTTCATATATCTGTAATCCATGTTCTTTAAAATTGTCACTATTTATAATGGATGTGCATGTGACTTTCACTATCTAAATGAATGACAAAACATATTCAACTCTTGAAAACATAAAAAAAATCATATTAATTTTGTATACATATTTTAGCCTGTATGTGGAATTTATAGAAAACCATGCAATATCTTTGCATTTGCAATATATGACAGCTTGTGATTTAAAGCCCAAAATTAATGGCATTTGTTTGTACATTTTTTATTAGAAAAGTAATTCTACTTTTTACCAATCTGAACAAAAAACAAGTATAATGAACTTTGAATTTTTCCAGATCTCAGTCTCAAAAAGTGTTTTTAAAGATTTGACTGTCGTTGAAATGTTCAAATTGAGAATTCTGGCAGCAGATAGATGTGAATAGTGTTTAACATCAAGTATTCATGTTTCCCCTCTGTCTTTTTTTTTTTTTGCAGTATCCAAAGAGCCTGTTCCAGCTACAACTTCAATAGGTAAGAGAAACAACTTGTTTTTGAACCATGATTAAAAACCAATCAAAATCAGTGGTCAGTTTTTAGCTCATCAGCGTCTGTGTTCATTCTGACATCACACAAACAACAGTCAGTGCTTCTGTGTTTCCAGTGAAGCCCTGGTATTTACAGTGATGAGGGACAACGACTAACTCAAGTCCTGGATTACTTTATAACTGCCTATTTTAATAGTTCAAACACTAAATAGTCATTTATATACATTAATACCTCCAGTGGAAACTTCCAGAGAACCCAACACATTCATGATAATCCTTATTTTCACTCTTGGGTTTACAGCCAATCAACTTCAGGGAATATAAACGCTCCTTCATTAGCTTCTTTGGAAATGCCAGCTAGAATTGCATCTTCCCAAGTTGCCTCATCTTTGACATTTTTATATGTGCTCAAGAAAAAATCCACAAACAGGTGATTTTTTTTCTTTTTTGTAAATAAATCTGGTCCACAGAAAAGTCTGAATAATGAGACGTGTAAAGGTAATATTACAGTCATACATGTGGCCCCTTTAAAATATTTTTGCCATTCTCTGACATCTTCTTTCTTTCTGCTCACTTTATCTTGCCTTTCCCTTCTGTTGAACAGATTGATCAATTTCTTGCCAAAAGGCTAGGCTCTGGCCTTTAATAGTGTGTGACATGTTTTATGTGTCTTTAGCCAGGTTTTTACACAAGAATACCACTTCACCCAGTTTCACACACAGAAACCAGCAGGAGATATAAAACCTAACCAGTGACTGTCATTTTTTCTATTCTGCCCTTTTTCCATAATGTCTTTTTTGGCTAAAACTTGGTGTCTGGAAGTCTGGTTTTTGTCCTCTTTTTTTTTTTTCCCTCATGTTGGTTGGAGTGCCTATTTAGCCTCTAACAATACTGTTGATGAGCTGAAATATTCTTCTCCAGATATCGGTGACATAAACCAACTTTATGTGTTGTCAACCTGATTACAACCTACTAGACTAAATGAGCAAAAGGAGGAAAATGGATCATTAACAACTCAATGTGAGGATCTCATATTTTCAGCTGATTTACTGCGATATTCCACACCTACCTGTGCAGGTTTCTGTCATTTGCTGATGCACATCAGGGAATGATGAAGCAGAATGCAAAAAGATGCTTGAGTGATTTATGCACTGGCACAAATTTGGTGCCATACATCTTCATACAATGACATTAGGTTTTAATGGAGCCATCTGTTCTCTTTACAATTAGTCTGAAAATTAAGAGATAAAAAACAGAGCTTTTCTTTTTTTTTTTTACAGCAACAAAAAAAATCAGCTGTTTGCAACAAAAGTGTAAAATGATGGAAACTGAACTCAAACTGGAACAAACGCATGCTTTAGCAGGAAGAATACAAGACAAAAGACTATTTTCTCCCTGTCAATAAATTCTTAACAAAAATAGAAAACTGTACCAATTTGTCATCAGATCCTGCTGCCTTATGACTTTGGTGACTCTGGTATAAACTTTTGGGTCATGTTCTGGTTGGTGACCCGTTCTTGTCCTTTTAGTGAATCACAGTTATCAGCGAGTCTTTAACCCGTCTGCTTTTTCTGAACTGAGTTCAGATGCTAACAGAATTATGATCTTACACTTCCTGAACGCAGATCCAAAATCTCAACCGTTACTTTTTTTGACTCATGTTCACCTTGTTATCTGCTGCTACATCATGATGGAAGTTACAGATACTCTATTTTCTGGGAATTGCACTTTTTGTCATAGATTACCAGGGCCTGTGACTTACATCTGTTTATTATGTCTTCATGGTCCTTTTTTAGACTCAGACATTGAATATTGTTTCATACAGACTGACATGAAGCAGGAAGTTTTTTTTGCTGGCTAAAAACAAGGTGGTCAAAGTTTATTAAAGGTACATTTAACAAGTTCTAAATGAATGTCACGTCTAGTTCAGTGCGACTTATATATGTCTTTTTGTTTTTATAACAATGTTTGTCTGATTCAGCTTATACGCTGGAGCAACAAATATAGTAGCACCAGCAAAACAACAGGTGAAAATCTGAAAATAAAACTGAAAAATAAATAAAAAATAATGTTCCTTTCAGGTTGAGTTGTAATGGAGATAAAACTGAACAAGCTCTGAAATTAAAGTGGCAAAATTATAATTACAGCATCAAATGAAACTTTCATTTATTAACATTCAGGTGTTTTTGTGAGTTAATTAATTCTGCCACTTTAATTACTTTCATTCTGACGTTCATTATAAAAAGGAAGCACACTAAGTTGACATCGTCTCTGAAATTTCCCATAAATTACAGAAATAAACAAAACAGCCTGATTTTTGCCCTCAGGAAAGAAAAGATATGTTTTCCCCATATGCTAATAAATGATTTAAACATGTAGAAATGAATAAACATAGTTGGTCACGATAAATCCCCTTTTATCTACACAGAAAGCTTTATTGATCCTTACACATTGTCAATTTAACACTTAACACATTTTTTTGTCGAGTCCATTAGGTCCGCCATTTTCTAGCTGGCCTCTAAAACAAGCAGAATTTCCACATCCAATAATTGGATGAAAATGGTTTCATTTTGAAAGTAACAGTCCTACCTTTGCGCTCGCTCTGACACCTCTTTAGCTTAGTGAAAATGGATAATAGCACCAGCAAGCTGAATGGCGCCGGGGAGCATCGTATTTCAGTGGCTTAATGGGAGACAGAGACCTGGGAGAGAAAGTTATTAGGATGATGCTGATGGAGACTTTCGGATTGAAGGATCAAAGAGAGGGACAAGTAGCTCGGGTAAATCCACTGTGCCGGGTAGAGAGCACGGTTAGCTGTTTCTGTTTGGATGGTTTTTTTCCAGTTTAATCTTTTGCTTCAGTATTTTCTTACCTTCTAAAAAAGTTCCTGTCAGTCTTATTTCAGTATGTCAAGAGTCAAATTGTTTCCTGGCCAATAAGGTAAATATTACAAAATATTATGTTTAACTAGAAGGATGGAAACTGAGTTATCAATCTGAAAATCATATCACATTATAAGTGTCTCATATCAGTCAGTCATGATAATTATTAATTTTTTGTTTTAAATATCTGAAGTACTGCCAATTAGACACATTCATTCCCATTGTTTCCACTCAATGCCGTTGCTTTTTTCTTTTCAATAGCAATGAGCCGCAGTGGCAAAACCTTAAACTGCTGCTGCTCACGGCACTAAGGTTGTTGCTAGGCAACCAAAGAGTGAGTGAGTTGCTAGGTAACCAAAAAATGAGTGAATTAGTCGATTCCACCAGTCTTGCTAATCCGGATTTAGCAGGTTGAGAGACTAAACTCTTTTTTTCTGCCTACATTCCCCATAATGCTGTGCGGTTCTGGATCGGAGTTTGGTGAAATTATTGAATATTCAGACATAAAATCTATGGATATTGATCATGTGTCTATTGCAGTACATGTTGTTATTGAGTCATTGTTCAGCCGTACATGCTCTGGTGTTCTGTGCTTATTCTGGGAGTTATGGGCTTTCATTTTCTTTTTTCACAAACAACATTGGGAACATAGAAAGGTCTTTATCCATTTTGAAGGGAGTGGAAAATGATGTTTTTTTTTTTTTTTTGTAGTCCTTTAAAGTGAAAAGTCAGTGTTCCCCAGCAGCCATCTGGGAGGCAACAGTTTGTTTCTGGAGGATTTTTGCTGCACCTGAAGGGTTTTTGTACCAAACCTCTGCAGTGGAAGATGGCGATAGGATGTTTAATTTCTACACACAGCACTTCCTGTTTTGGAAGTAGTTTTTCCACAGCTTCACAGAAAAGCAATTATTTTCCTCGTCCAGTTCAGCATAACATTAGGCTGCATGTAAGGTGATTATGGCTAATAGTAGTCATTTTGTTTGGCCGTAATGTGGCACTGCTGGGTAATTGAAGGTGAGTGCAGCAGAGAGAGTCATTTTTAACCTTTATGTTCGGAGGCAGGATTGAACCTCTGTGCTGTTTTTTTCCCGGCTCATCTCGAATGCTGGCTGACGTTCCAGAGCTCCTCTCTGTGCACTTCGATCTGTTAGCTGGCTGGCTCACTGTATCACAATCAGCAGATAAGCTACACTGCAAACATGTCAAAATGGCCAATCATAAAACTCAATCTAGAAACAAATAATATTGATTATGTAAAATTGGCTAAAACCTCTATCCAGATATAAGATGAGCTATTTCATTTAAACCAGATTTCTGAGCACACGAAGGTTGTGAAAAACATTTATTGTTAATATTCTTGGTCTCTATGGGTATATTATTTTAGGTTTTGACCATACTTGCATGTTTGCATGAAACCTGTGTTTATAGTCACTTCAATGTTTGACTCACCCATTTAGAATACACTGCAGAATTATGACACACTCCACCCCACCAATCTAACATATCTATTGTATTCTGCATGATAATTTGTGCAAAAACAAGCAACTTGCTAGCTTAGTCACTGAAATTTCTTTAGTAAATACCCTAAATCTCCCCATGCTTCCTTAATCTGTATTGTTTGCTCTACATGTTGGGCTAATATGTTTAATCTCCGTCTTGTCATCCTCAGATCTCCATCTGCACTCCTTTGTTGTTGTTTTTTCAGCTCAGCTGAACTTGTAGTTTCCATTTTTCATGTCGGTGCGTTGTTGCTCTGCTAGAAAATGTAATGTCTCGTACATCGGAAGGGATTTTTATTCAGACCAGAGAGAATTCATTGGCCTGGCTCTCCAGCAGTGAAATGAAGTTGAACTTGACCTCATGCTTCACAGACAGAAAAAGGAGATGCAGAAAGATGAACTTATCATCCAAAGCGGTTTCCACTTTGTTTCTAAATGCTGCCGGCAGAGATTTCTAACTCCAAGCATCATGAGTGCATCCAGCTCTTAACCTTTAATGTTCAAAGGATTGCAAAGCATGCTATTTGCATCTTGACCCATTGCATTTACATAGAAATTCCTTGTTCACAGACATTTCTTTGGGTTTCATTGGGTATTATTGGGTTTCCAAAGCTTAACGGTAAAAGCTGTGTAAGATTTTTTTTTTGTACTAATTGCTTTGAGTTGAGCATGTTCAACCATCCACTTGTAATTTAATACATAACTTAGTACTGTAGGGTTATGGTGTTTAACATAATTTATATTTCAGTTGCAATAACTGTTTGACTCCTCAGGATCTAATTGCTGATGTTCTGGTAAAACATGTTCCTTACAGACATCCAATGGCTTCTATAATTATGTTGTTTGGTTGGATCTTGTAGTAAACTTGAGTAAAATGTGTAAGGTTATCGTGGGTTCCTCTACATTTTCATCTTTGGCTTACTGGAAGTGGAGTCTTTTGCGTAGTGTGTGCATAGTGGCCATTGTGATTGCATGCATTGCTGATTGTTTTCATGGTAAAAATGGCACCTGCTATTTCCAGGCGTTTCTGACTCTCTGTGGTTCTCGGATCTTGGACTACGGCGTTGGTTATTCATTTGTGTCCTCTGTCAGAAGTTGGAGTCAGGCACCAGGGTGATGCATGATTTCTCCAGTGTAATTCAGTGGAACTCCAGTGCAAACAAATCTGATCAAGACTCAACCATCAGTTCATAAATCATCTTCATTTGTGTTCACATGCCAGAATAAGCACACACATACGCACCTGACAATTTATAATACACACTTTACTGTACTGCCATGGTAGAAATAGGGGTGGAGTGTTGAGGAAGGAATTAAGAAACAGTAAAGGAACACTAGAAGCCCAAGTCATCCATAACTAAGTCTTAATAAAGTCAGAGGGAAGGAAGTAGGAACTTTATAATACACACACTACTGAGCATGAAGGACTGCATTAACATACACACAATGACAGCACAAATGACCTTCATACATGTGCACAAACTCCCACCGCGTGCGCACACACACACACACACACACACACACACACACACACACACACACACACACACACACCACAATGGTGTACAGGTAGCTCTGTATACCATTTTCTCTTACTTGCATAGTCAAACTCACACATTTTCATGCATGATAGTGTTGTCTTGTCGCACACAGACCGACATGCACACACACACATATTTGTGCCTCTGGAGGTCAATAAATCCACCCATTAGCATTGAGATGTTCTCCATCATAGTCACTGCTGTGGAGCTGCTGCTATGAATTCATTTCATGCCTGGCTTAATGCATATTTGACCTTGGTGAGCTTATCATGTGTTTTCAAACACCCTAAACGTCACAATAAGGTCAGCACAGCAACACGTCTCAATTTAGGTGAAGAAAAAAATATGCATTTCCAGTTCATGAAGCATACTGTCTAACAAATGATGATGGTCAGCAGGCTGTTGAGTCTTTTAGGCAGTTTGGTGGATGTTGCATCCGCTGTCATTGGAAACTGACCCACAGCCGCTGTTGCTTTAGGTCTAGCAGTTTGGCAATGCACCAGAACTGTGGGGATGCAACATTCGGATTGAAGATGTAACGAACCTAAGGTTGTGCTGCAAAGGTTCCAGGTGAAGTCTGAAGCCGCACCCTGGATCTTTCTGCACCATGAGTTTAGGATTACCATCGCTAGCCTGGATCTCACAGCACTTTTATAACTCAGGAGGTGAAACGCCTTCGAGAAGCTCGTAAGGTCTATGTTGATTTAATTCAAGCTGCAGCATGTGACCTTTGTAAAAATAGTTTTTTACATATTTGTTCAAATTTTCCAAGATGTGGTGATAATACAAGACAGATGATGTGTGAAAAATATAGAGTTCCTCTGGCTTCTCCCAGTGCTCCCAGTGTCAATGGTTATAGTGTAAACCCCGTTCCCACCCCCCATCACGCTCTGCTGCACTACAACTGGTTCAGCACAGCCTGCCACCAATGCTAAGGCTAACTAGCATGGCCTCATGCTTATTTCCTTCACTGAACGCAGCAGATTGTTGAATAGGAACATCATGTTGTATGACAACCCAATATCTCTTAGTTGTTGTGTATAACACCGACCTCTGGATCGACTGTTAATTAAAACTTTCTATCACACATATTTTCTTAGTTGAAAACACAAACGCATTCATTAAAGAGAAAATAGCCACATGATGTTTATGAAAGAGAAGAGAAAACTAAAGAAAAAAGGCATAAAAAGTGTGACTCTAAGGGAAGGTGTGATAAGATGATTCTTGAAAATGAATTAAAAAAGCAGCAGTCTTACCTCAGGAGGATCGACCTGGCTGCTCTGGAAACATAACTCAGAAAAAGTTTAATAATACAGAGAAGCTGAAACTGTGCATATGGGACAAACACACAGTATAATTGAGAATCAACTAATATTGCTTTGATCAAAAGGGTCAAAGAGAGGTCACCACAGAAGCATATCCATTTATAACTAGTTAACTTCAATTTGAAGACATTTCATAACGATGTAGACTTCTTCTGAAGTTAAAGCCCTGAGACAAAACAATAAAGTTGCTGTTTTAATGGTTTTATTGAAGTCATTTGGATCCTATGGAGTACAAACCTGCTGACACAGCACTGGACACAAACTCCTGCTTTGGTGCCAAATATAATGAAAAAAGTTCAGAAGATTTTAATCAGAGGAGAACTTTTCCTCCAGTGAGCAAACTGACCTTTTTTAAGCTTCCTGCTCTTTTCTCTGCAGTGACTCTCTTCCCCCCTGGATGTTACATCCCCTCCCTCATCTCTCTTCTTGCTCTTGTAATTTTTCTCATAGCTACCTTATCACTACTATCATGTGTCACGAACTGCTTCTGTCATTTCTAGATTTATTTTAGATATTGTTTGCTTTATCGCCTCCCTTCTAACAGAACACAATTTTCTGGATTCTCCTGTTTAAGCCAAATTATCCTTAATTTATCGCAGGAAACTGGTGTTTACATTGACTAATTGTAGAAGCTACCTCAGGCCACCAATAAACTGGCAGAAGTTATTAACATGCAATTAGATCTATTAAGGAATCATGGAGTCATGCATGTTCATATCACATCTTTTTTCCTTGACAAAAACAACGTCACACTAAGCATTTATCCAATCTATTGAGCTGACTGGTTGTCAGTCACCATAATACCTCAGAATTTTGTTTTATTTATTAAACACACTGGGATTCTGACACCTCTATTAGAGACTCATTTATCTGCTGTTTCTGAACTTTGTGTTGGTTTTCTTCCATTTCTCCTTTCTGCTTTTGTCTATTACTGTAATGTTTATTTGCAGTTCATGTTTTACGTCTCAAAATAAAACAATACTCTCCTTGTCTGCTTGTCTGTCTTTGTGTCAACAGATGGAAGCCAGCCGTCTCTGGCGCAGCCGTCCCTGACTTTACAAAGTTTTCCTTACGGAGGCTGTGAGTCTGTGGAGCTCTCCTACCAGAGCGGTACGTCAACTGGATCTTTCACCTTATTAAGTTTCTTGAGACATTTGTTTTGAATCTGACCTGAGGTATAAGTCATATAATTGTACGTCATCTCCACATGCAACTGGTGCTTTTTGGTGAGGAATGGCAGCCATATTGGAACTGAACTTTGGGTTTCTTGGTGAGCTCAAAGCTTAGCGGTCAAAATTCAGGTTTCGACTATTATTTTTGTTGCATTTCCAACCAGGAAGTAGTTTTTACCTAAATGTTTGTCCACATTTAATTTGATATGTACTTTGACTGCTTCTAAGAAACCCTTGACAGGCTAATTAGGGTCATTTAAAGCCAAAGGAGTCGATCCAAAAGAAGCAACTTTGTTTTTCACATTTTGTTCAATGAATTCCATCCAGATTATTTTAACAGTTTCTGTGAAAAACGGCTTTGCTCTCATAGGTCAGTTCCAGGCGGGCCAGTTTCAGCCAGCTATTCGAGTTGCAGATCTCCTGCAGCACATCACACAGATGAAATGTGGACAAGGATATGGCTTTAAGGAAGAATATGAGGTAAACACACTCTCAGTAAATAATACAAACAAACTGTCACACAAAACAAAGCATGTAGATGAGGTAAAACACAATTTTAAAAGCAAAAAGCTTTTTATGATTTCTTTTGGTCATATGAATCCAGATACATCAGGTCAAATGTTTTTTTATGTTTTAAGAAGCATTAGCTCACTCTTGGTGTAGTTGCACCACATTAAGGATTGTTTTTGTCTATTTCTGCCTTTATTCTTCAATATTGTAAAGTTTTTACGTGCTTCATTGTTAAGGGAAAATAATAAACATAAACTATAAAAATGTTGAGTTTGAACAGTGCTAGTTACAGCCAGAAAATTCTACTTCAACTTTCTTCTTTCATTAGAAACTGGGACAAAACTCGAGGCTAGCAAAGACGTATCCCCTCGCTTTGAAGCACAAAGTTACAGCCGTGTTAGAACTTATGCTTTTATTTATCCTTTAGTTTTATAAAGCTTGAAATACTCATTATTCACAGACTCGCACTAAGTTCTCAACTGAACATGTTTTAATCAGTGATGATGCAATTGACTTAGACTTAGACTTGAACTTTATTGATCCTTTGGGAAGACTTCCTCAGGAAATTAAAGTTACCAGCAGCTAACAGGCAAAAAAGTGGCACACAGTAAGCATACGCGAAAGAATACAAAAAAATACAAATTAAATACAAAGAAAATATAGGAATTTGGTGGATAAATTGACCAGTGATATGGTATTGCACTGTATGGTTTGACCTGATAAATATGGAGTTCACATTTGTAGAAAACTACTCCTTCCCTCTGTCCTGTGTCAAAAAAGGAGCAGATATTCAGAACCGTTCCTGGAAACTCACTGTCCATCAAAAAGTCAGACAGAACTTAAGCCTTAAAAAAGATGTGCAGGTTAACAAATTGTGACTTATGAATTTGTGCCTCTGCAGTATCTTTATTTGACATGTGGCCCTTTTGTGTCATTAAGGAAGAGTCTAAAGCAAAAATACAACAGGGCATTTAAAGTTTGGGTGATAGACAGAAAATCTAAAGTCCTACAGCAGTAAGAAACCCAGAGGAAAAGAAACAAGATGAACTCATCATTTGGAGATGAAACTGTGGGTGTAGCTAAAATAAAGCAAGAAACATTTAATCTCAGACTGTAAAACCTGAATGACTTTTACTGCAGTCAGCAGTTAAAGAGCTTTAAATAAGTTCAGGCGTTTTCACCACTTCTACCAAATATCTTGTGTTGACAGGGAAAAGTTGATAGCAGAAATCAGCACATCATCCACAATAAGCTACACATTTTATGTAACGTGTTAATAAGTTTATGGGAAAAATTATGACAGAAATGGAGGTAAACAAATGTACTGAATGAAACAAATGTTCTGTCAAGTGGATGAAAAGCTGAAGTGTACAATGTACAAATAAGAAGTTTTACTTTTTTCTGCTTTAATTAGAAGCATTCAATCAATTACTTTAAAATAAAATTCTAAAAGTTTTTCAATCAAGAGCTTAGGAATTGGGTTCCTTTATTTTGTCAACATTTTGCAGTATTTAGTCCTTCTGTACATTTAAGCGGCTGGATTATTCTGAGTTGATTAGACACCTTTCATGAAGGTGAAAGCTGCCATGAGAGACAAACGGGTCATATTTATTATTAATATATAACCACGCTGATAGAGAACAAATTAATTGTGAGCTTCATTTTCAGTTTTTCCTTCCTCTTTTTTTAGTGTCATCAACATTTAATTAATTAATTTAATGCATCATTTATTATGGAACATTTCTCAAATTATTGCATTGTCTTATTTAACTTATTTATGTTTCTTCTTTCCTCTAATTTATTATTCTGCTTGGCTATCCCCCTGCCTCTGTCCTTTAAAATCTGAAAGATTTATTTCTTTGTCTCTGGAGATAAATGTTAGGAAAGGCACCAGGAAGAGTCTGTTTTCGTCTCCTTCAGCCTCCCATTCTCTGAAGAATGAATATTTTCTATTACCGACTCTGCATGCGTGTTGAAAATTGTCCCTCCGTGATACTGCGACTTATATTTTCATTTGCTTCCTGTCATTTCGCTTCAAACCCACTGATACGTTTCAGGGGGAGAGAAAATGTGATTTATTCTTGAGTGTGTGTGGATCTGTGTGTAACGAGGGGACACACACGCAGAGTGGGACTTCTTTTTTCATGATTCCACTTGTCTCCAGCAGCAACTGATTTGATGCACATTAGAAGACTTTGGAAGTTTATCTTCACAACACTTTGTTCAATATACTGTTTGCTCTACTTGCTGGAAATGTACATCCAGGCTTATTTCTTCACTTATAAAGCTTCTGTGTGATGAATTAGCGTCCACTACAACGGCTGCTATGAACAGCTTTTACTGAGTCTTTTTCAATGTCAGCATACAGACACTGTGTTGGAAATAACATGTTCTAAAAATGTTTTTTTTCTGGGTTGTAGTTGAATTTCTCACATCTAAAAGTCAAAATTTCTGTTTTTGGTTTAATATTTCATAATATATCGTTAGATGTATAATAAATATTACAATTATAAATGGCCCTAACAGCAACAACAAAAGGAGAAATACTTATGAAAACTACAACATCCAGACGGACAATAAAACACTTTTTGATATAAGTTTGACATGATCACAGCACTTCCAAACCATATATATAAAAATCCTTACTAAAACACAAAACATTTGAAAATCAGACGCCAGACAAGTGAATCACAGCAACGTCATCAGCCAGAGAACGGAGCTTCGCTAATAAGCGAACAAACACTGAAGAGAAGCAGAGCTGCCATTGATGCGGTTGCAGCAAAGCATGTTTTAATGCTGCACAATACAGTGTTAGCAAGTTACTCAAGTCTAAAATGGCATTGTTGAGCATTTAAGAAGTAAAGTTCATCGAGCAAATGCCCCCCAGAGGAATCCCAGCGCCCCCCTTTTGTAAAAATATCTGCCAGCGCCCCCTGCTGTCCTCTGAACCCCCCCTATGGGGCGCTGCCAAAGGGGGCGGTACGGCTCCGTTGAGAAACACTACTATAAGAAATTACAGTTGATCCTGGTTGTGATTTAGGCTATTACCTCCAACTATTCCCAATCTTTTTGTAGAGAATATCTAAATATGTGAAAGAAAATGTTAAGAAATGTCAGTTTTCACACCAGTCAATCAAGAAGTTCAGTAATGCTGCTTGACTAAAACCCAAACAACTGAAGTAAAAAAGACCATAAATAAGATGGTCTCCACTGTGATACTAATGCATGTTGAGGTATATTTGTTGTTCAAACTTTTACAACAGCCAGTGTCAGAGTAGAAAGTCTGTGTTTGTCAGAAGAGACTCCAAAAACATCCTGAACTGTTCAGTTGGTACGAAGCTTAGCATGAAGGCCGTTGACCTCTGATGGAGTGAATTCTGTGCCACTGGTCACCTGGAAGTAATTTAGTAGTTTTTCGTTTTACTCCCGTCACTGCCAGAATTAACAAGACAACAATATTTCCATGAAAATAGATCTTGGGAAGTTAAACTTTTCGTCTGTCTTTAAAAGATTCAAGTGACTTTGGCTGCTCAGATGTAGAATATAAAGAAATAAAGGGGTTTGAGGCTTTTAGACCAAATCTTTCCTTCTGAACTTTAGGGCAAGAAACAGCAAGTGAACTGACTCAGATGTGAATAAATGACCATGAGGGGAAATGAAATGTCCTTTTGCCTCATAAATGTAGCCCACATCACAGCACCGCGGCAGTGCTTCACTTATGTATTTATGCATATGGTCACATTTGGGTCCCCAGTGCAGTGGCTGCCTCAGTGAGCCTCTGTCTGCTTGCACACCCCATATGGCGTCTTTTTGTCCCCGTCTCTGTGTGCGATGTGACCTACTGTGTTGAAACCGATTAACCTCACTAACATTGATGGCAGCCACATTGTCAACATTGTGCTCCCCAGTGGGAGTACACTTCTTCCATTTCAAGTAAAAACCAACTTATTTTTTAAATGTGGCACCTGAAACGTATCAAGCAGCCATTAGGTTATTGCAATGTGCTCTTTGCATGAGCTGCAGATTCAACTTTTTGGTACATTTTTCTTTTTTTTTTTTTTTTTTTTTGTATTCTTTTTTGTCTAAATGTCCAGTTTTCCACCTCTTAGAGTTGGAAGACATGTCAAAATGTGTAGCTTGATAGTGCTCTATGACATTTGGTAGAAGGACATTTTCCATATTTCCATCTCTAAATGTAGTTTCTTCATTATTTTGATTATTTTCAACCCAAAACTCAGGAGCAGCATTATGTGACATTTACTTTCTTGGAGCTTCCCATTATGCTATCATGCTATTCCCCCATCAAAACATGCCTGGCGTGTTGCCTTGATTATTTCATGCATGTTTGAGAAATCACTCAATCTCCATGGCAACCATTCAGCTGTGAAAAAACACCAGAGTGGACCTAGCTCTGCTTTCAAGGACAAAGCGTCCACCTCAGAGATGTAGTTTCCAAGCGTCCACCCCAGAGCAGCCTTCCCCTGCGACCGCCCCACTCAGCTCCTAAAGACTAGCCGAGAGCAATTAGCAAACACCTGGTGGAACGGCGCATTCGTTGAGCTTATTCTATGAGTTACGTCTGAGTGCAACACTGGTAAAAAAAATTGTTAAAGGGTTAATCAAGGAGTGATGTGATGACTTCCAGGAGGCAGAGTTTAAGAAAGAGTAGATTTTAAAGAGACAGACACCCAGGTTCACGGTGTTACATCACAAAGTAACATTTCTCTTTCCGTTTAATGAATTGCATTGCATGTGGGCTGTGTTGAAATATCCTCCAGTTCAGCATAAGGTGATATTTACAAAAATACTTACTGATCTTTGAGAGGGTGTGCTGGCATTCTTATATTAATTACATGCTGTCTCAGAACGACAACATTGTTGTTTATTACAATAATTGCAGTTTATAGTCCAGTTAAATTTGTCATTGTGACATGTCTAGTTAGGTTAAGCATTCACATGGTTAAAAACACACACAGACTTTTAACATTTTTCTGCCTATTTTTGTATTGGCATCGAAATAAATCTACAGTATTTAACACTGGACTGACTAATGCTGCTTTTACACACAAAAACATTCAAACTCCAAATTCCAGGCACCAGAATCAATTTTCTGCTTGACTAAGCGATATGTTTAGGTGTCTATTTTTCTGTCTCATTGCATTTATTTTGTGTGTGTGCATGTAGGTCAGATCACTGTCTGAAAGTGAAAGCTGTTGTCTGGCCTTCTTAAGCCCTTAATGGACTCAAAAACGGGGCTGTTCACTCGTCCCTACTGGGAGATTTTGAGCATATGAGTGACCTGAGAGCGTTGGAGGAGTTGCTCTAAAATAGTTCAGCCTCCATATGGCAGCCTTTGAGAGTTGGGGTTTAGTTGCTCCACAGACGCTCGCAAAGGACGTTTTTGTCATATTCTCTTCCACTCAAAGTGCATTCAACAAAAAAAAAATAAATGGGTATATGATCACACATGCATTCAATAGGTGTTAGTTCAGTAATTTGTTCACAAAAATGCATAATGAAGAATGCATAAAGTAGAAACCCACATCAGAGCGGCTCATGCATGTTTTGTCCTTCCTACGTCTGAAATGCTCGTCACACAGGCCTCAGCAGGGAGCGCGGACAATCTGTCCTTTCTCCTCTAACAAAGGAATAAGTAAATATTCTTGAACTGGAACCCAGGAGAACAATAAATACAATCTTTGTCCTCTTGTTTTTTTGTACTTTTTTTTTTCTTTCAAAACACTGTATGATTGAAAACACAAAATCTTACCAAATATTTTTGGTTTAGTTTCTGGGGCAAATGACTCAAACAAAACTAACAAACAACTTTTCAACAAGATCTATGAGCTTGTTTTACATCAATAATTGCTTAACATTAATAAAAATGTTCCACTAGCAGATTATTTTATATTAGAAAGGAAAAATTTCTTGTTATAAGTGACATATTTACTTAATATTGACCTAAAACAATCTCCTATATCTTGTGAGAAAGTTACCTGTTTAGTCTAAATTCAAGTGTAATAGGATATTTGCGATAGAAACTAAACCACGATGCTTGGGAAGATTTTTTCTGCAGACTCTTGTTTGGTTTTTGGCAAAAGTGGGAGCTTTAGCAGGTTACCACTCCCCAAGCTGGAATAGGGAACTGGTCCTGTTCTCTTTTTTTAGTTCAAAACATCCCAGAAGATACCTGATTTCTTTGTACTATTCCTAATTTACCTCTGAATGAAATGTTGTTATAAGATTAATCAGATTGCAATTGTAGTGAGAGTTTAAGCCCCATCTTTGGTGTCTCATGTATTAGAGTGATGCCTCTGCAAAGCTCTGAATATTCATGTTGCTATTTCAACTCACGCCAACCAAAGTGTTGCTCCATGAGCTCCGGGGTTCCCACCATATGTGCATGCATATTATTGTGCTCTCCTTCTCGGTTTCATGACAGTTTGTGTTTGTGCGCACATGAGCCCATGCATGTCTACATGTGTCTCCTCAGGCTTTGGCGGAGGGTCAGACAGCACCGTGGGAGACGGCCAAGAAGGACGAGAATCGCAACAAGAACCGCTACGGCAACATCATCGCATGTGAGTACTTACATTTTTTTTTAAATTATGTTAAGGTTTCATTGTGGTTTAATTTGGTTTTATTTCAATAGTTAATTTTGTTCTTTTAACTGTAGCAGAGTTCAAATCATCACAGCTGTTTTCTGCGAAAGAGCAAAAAAGGGACTAAAAATTACTTAAAGGAAAAAAAATTATTAAAAAAATATTCAAGGCTTTTGAACAATTTCTTTCGGCAAAACAAGTAAAAACTCCCTTGGGTTTTGTGCTGCTGTGTGTGGTGCTGGCTCTTTTGGGACAAGCCTCTCAGACGTTATTTATCAAATACCTGTAGGTATTAAAGCTTCTCTTGCTTGTAATATCATTTGACAGTGAATCCACTGTGATTTACAATAGCTGTCTAGTAAAAGTTGCATCTAATCAAGCTCCCAGAGTCTGGAGCGAGAGTGGAAAGGCTTTTGAAGTCCAGCGTGAAGTTTGCACAGTCAGTGGTGATTTGAAGTGCCATGTCGTCTGCTGGTTCTGGTCCACTGGGTTTTCTGGACTCCACAGTCAACACAGCCATCTGCCAGGACTTTTTAGAGCACTACAAGTTTCCTTCTGCTGACAGGCTTTATGGAGATGCTGATTTTGTTTTCCAGCAGGACTTTGTACCGACCCACAATGCCAAACACTGTGAAAGCTGGTCCAGTGATCATGGTGTCATTGGCAGCTAATGGATCCAACCAGAACCCAAAGAGAATCCATGAGGCATTCTGAAGGGGAATATATTCCCCAAAGGAATATATTCCTTTGAAGGGGAATATATTCTCACTTACTAAGACACAGAGGGTGCTTTTGTTATCTTCTGAAGGCCTTTGTGAAGATTTGATTTTTCTTCCTGGACCTGTTGTCTGTTTGATGCATTTAAGTAGAAATGTTGGTGGTAAATTGTAGAACTGACTCCTGGCCTGCAGAAAGAGCAGTTCTTCTCATTTGGTTAAACGTTTTTTGAGTAACAAAGCTAAAAAATCTAAACTGCAACACTCCTTGAAAGAAGCAATATTAAACCGATTGGGGTAATCTCAATTCAAAAGCAAAGTCTGTTATTGCTGCCACTTATTCTGACAGTGAAACATTGTTTTGTGAGAATATTGTTTTCATTATCCTACAATGAGCACATCGATACTTTTAATTTACTCAATAAATTATAGGGCTGTTTCTTTGACACATGAATTTTAAGCTACTGATGGCATAAATTTCAACAGAAGCTAATTCCATTTTATTTTTCTTGCATGCAAATGTCTTGACCTGGAACCTTTGTGTTGTGTTTCTGGTACCCCAGTGAATCTGATGCATCTGTAAACAACCTACAAATGATGAAGCCGCTTCTCTTCAATATAAGATCTGATGGGATTCTGGGAAAGAACATTGTTGTGTTGAAGTTGTGGTAGAATGAGTTGGCCTATCAGCAGAGCAGATCGAGACTGTAAAAGCATCTAATGTCAGCGTCCACGTTTTTTTCTTGAGCGATCAGGAGTTTCTGTAACACTGAAAAGCTGGATGGGTATAATTCAACTTTACATCAATCTGATGGTTCAATCATCTAAACAGATTAAAAACTACAATTATTTATTTCATATGTTTGTTTATTCAATAATTTATTTTGCAAAAAGTCTTCTTGAATTGATTGTTCTTAATTAAAATTATTACAGACCCTGAAAATAATTTATATTCTAATCTGCAATGTCTGGATTGCTTGAAGAAGCATTATTGGAGATCCGTCCTTCCACCTCTCCCTTCTTTATCTGCTCAAATATATTTTATTCATGCTACTTTTCATCACTTTTAAATTTGAATATTCACAGATAAATTGTGACGCGTACAATAACTTAAATTTATATTATATTCTATTATAATCTACAACAATATGAATGTTTTATGTTTGTATATGCAAGAAAGAACTGAAACTGTTCATTAGAAAAACCTGATTTTCTGGCTTTGCTGCCTACCTTCTGCCTTAATGCACTTTTAAACACCACTGATACTTGGATTTCATACTTGTGTAAGTCTAATACAGGAAACCTAGTAAGAAATTGCTTTCAGTTTGCAGAGGGATTTTCTTTCAATCCTGCCTGATGATCAAAGGCTGCAGCTGCTATTTTATTCACAGAGACTTTTGTCAAAATGAGCCTTCATTTCAGTGCAAAGACGGTCTGCAGTAATGATATTCGGAGTGAGGGACTGCATGTAGGATCGGTGTGTGTGTGTGTGTGTGTGTGTGTGTGTTGTTGTTGGTGTGCATTAGCATTTGAATATAACGGTGTGTCCTATTCCGTGCAACAGCGATGTCCGTCAGATTGAACGTTCAATCGTTGTCTGTTTGTTATCTTGCAGAAGGAAACCTCATGTCTCTATTTTGCTGGAACAACAACGGATTGTTTGATTTAAGTTTTGAAAGGTTTTATGGTTTACTTGTTTGCCATCAGGAGCAGCATGATCCATATGCATAGCATTTTAGGCTTCATATTTTACGGTTAGTGTGTATTAGTGTCCACAGGCCTGGGACTGTGTACATATTTCATTATGAGGGTTTAGATGTCACAGCAAAGACACTGCACTAACCTGAAGGCTTTAATATGAAACTTAGCGCTGTAATGAAATAGCCTGTCAAAGACTTGATAGCCAACAGGAATTATGATAATTTGCTATTAGTACAAATCCTTTAATTACAAGGGCCTAGTAATGGAAACTGTCCATCTTGCTTGCTGTGATTGTACAAAGGCTAATTTTCTTGAGAAAATGTTTTAAAAGGCCCTGGGGGAAACGAGTTTGTGCCGTGTCTTTATTAGAACATGTAAATGTGGTGAGACAGGCGGATTGACTGTCTCCAGCTCTCAGAATAGATGCAAGCTTTGTCCCTGTTATGCAAGGCCAAACTCACCTCTCCATGTCTGGTATTATGCTTTTAGAGGTGAAGTGTCCTATTTTCACATGAAAAGTACATAAAAACATTCCTCAAACCTTGTGTGATGAAATAGTTAGTAGGCTCTTTGATTCCACGTTGAGGTCAATCAGAGACTTGTATGTGCAGGATCAATCAATCAATCAATCAAATTTTATTTGTATAGCACATTTCAGCTACAAGGCATTTCAAAGTGCTTTACATCATAAACACAAAACACAAAGGCATGCAACATAGAATAAAATACCAAGGTTTTTTTTTTTTCTTCCTCTTTTTTTTTTCCCCTTTTCCCTCCTCTTTCCCTTTCTTCCCCCTTCCCTTTGACACGGAATTTGAGCGCCTGTTACCGCCGGACTCCGCCGTCCGTTTAACCACGGGTATTCGCCGGGCCCCGTTGCCCACAACAGGAAAAAAAAAAATAAAAAAAAAAATAATTACATACATATCCACAAAATCAAATCCATACATATTACATTTCAAATGCAACTCTAAACAGGTGCGTTTTTACTTGAGATTTGAAGGAAGTCAGGGTTTCGCTGTTTTACAGTTTTCTGGAAGTTTGTTCCAAATTTTTGGTCCATAGATGCTGAAAGCTGTTTCTCCTCTTTTGGTTCTGGTTCTGGGGATGCAGAGCAGACCAGAACCAGAAGACCTGAGAGGTCTGGAAGGTTGATACAACAACAGCAGATCTTTGATGTATTGTGGTGCTAAACCATTCAGTGATTTGTAAACTAACAACAGTATTTTAAAATCTATTCTTTGAGCTACAGGGAGCCAGTGGAGGGACTTTAAAACTGGTGTTATGTGCTCTATCTTCCTGGTTCTAGTGAGAACGCGAGCAGCAGCATTCTGGATCAGTTGCAGCTATTTGATTGATTTGTTGGACAGGCCTGTGAAGATGCTGTTGCAATAATCAATGAGACTAAAGACAAACACATGATTGAGTTTCTCTAGATCTGGCTGAGACATTAGTCCTCTAATCCTGGAGATGTTCTTCAGGTGATAGAAGGCCGATTTTGTTACTGTCTTTATGTGGCTCTGGAGGTTCAAGTCCGAGTCCATCACTACTCCCAGGTTTCGGGCCTGATCGCTAGGTTTTAGTTGTAATAACTGAAGCTGTGCATTGACTCCAGATCGTTCCTCTTTAGGTCCAAAAATAATGACTTCAGTTTTATTTTTGTTCAGTTGGAGAAAGTTTTGGCACATCCACACATTTATCTGCTCTAAGCATTTATTCAGTGATTGGATGGGGTCAAAGGTCACCTGGTGACATCGTAATGTAGAGCTGTGTGTCATCCGCATAGTTGTGGTAGCTAATATTATTTCCTGTTATGACCTGAGCTAAATATTAAATAAGAGGGGTCCTAAGATTGAACCTTGGGGTACCCCACATGTGACCTTTGACCTCTTTGATGAGAAGTTTCCAATTGAAACAAAGAAATCCCTGTTCTTTAGGTAGGATTCAAACCAGTCGAGCACCGAACCAGAGAGTCCAACCCAACTTTCAAGTCGATTCAATAATATGTCATGGTCGACAGTGTCAAAAGCTGCACTGAGGTCCAACAGAACCAGCACCGTGGTTCTCCCACAGTCCGTATTTATATGGATATGATTGAATACTTTTACGAGGGCAGTCTCCGTGCTGTGGTGAGCACGAAAACCAGACTGGAAAGTGTCAAAGCAGTTGGTCATCATGAGGAAACTATTTAATTGTTTACACACAGTTTTTTCAATAACTTTGCTGATGAATGGGAGGTTTGAGATTGGCCTGTAATTCTGCAATAGTGATTTGTCCAGGTTGTTCTTTTTTAACAGTGGTTTGATGACTGCTGTTTTCAAGGCCTGGGGAAAAACACCTCATGTAAGCGATGAGTTTACGATTTGGATCAGATCAGTAGCAATAACAGGCAGGACTTTCTTAAAGAAATGTGTGGGAAGGACATCCATTCAGCAGGAGCTTGAACTTAATTGACTTATAATTTCTTTTAGAGTTTTATAATTAAGTAGTTGAAAATGGGTCATTTTTTCTGTATTTGTTTTGTTTTGGTACAGCAATGGTTCTGGCTTTGAAGTTGATGTG